CCACTACCATTACAAGCTTTGGGACAAGCGTAAGCAGTAATGAGAAAGAGGTTACAGGAATCGAGCATGGATAAAGGTGGCTACAGCAGCGAGATGCCAAGTACCTTAACACGCTACAACAGGCCTTCAACTCCCCCTGCAGTTATTTTTCATGAAAAAAAAAAATCAATTAAAAAATCCTCAGCCTTAATTTGAAAACAGCTTTGAAAATTATATCCTCATTCAAGAGGAACTAATTCTCTCTTAAATGCCAAGTAAGTCAACAGAATTGGAGCGGGCTCAGCAGGCTTACAGCCCTAGCAATCGGCTGAAGGGATCCCAAGTAAGACTGTAGGCCCCTTCTAATAAAATTGCCTTCAGTTTAAAAAAGACAGTTTCTAGTATCAGCGTAAACCAAACACTAGGTCTAAGATGAAGCAGGTACATCAGTTCTGGTTTGAGTGGCCTAATTACGCTCCCTCCTTTCGCCATCTGCGGTTCAAGTATGCCCATGTCCATTCCCTCGGCTGGACAAGTCTCTGGGCAGCACATCACTGCCCACATGGACACCTCTGAAGTGCCAGGGACTGTTAGAGGTCCCTTGCTGAGAAACCCACTGCGGGTCTCTTTTTCCTGTTCTCACTTTTGTCCCTCAACCCACTTTGTCGGGGTTTTTTTTTGGGTTGGGTTTTTTTTTGATTCATTGCCCTTTCTCATTCTTTGTTTTCTCCTGGGATCCTCTTCGTATAAAGGCTCTTCTGGCTTGGTTATGGAGAGCTGACAGAAGTGATGGAAGGGGAGAAGGAAGTAAGGAGCAGGGCAAGAGTCGTCCCCATGCAACTGGCCGCAGGCCAGGCACGCATACAATTGGAAGAGTCCAGTGGTCTCCATGGCACACATCACCTCAATTAACATTTAATGTATTTGATCAATTTGGTCCAAATAAGGCATGGCTTAAAATCTAATCACATAACAGACAATGCAACAGCCAGCCACTGAAGAGCTGATCCAACACAACACAGAATGGCTCCCAAAAGTGTAGATTTAGACAAAAAAAACCCACCCAGAGAGTAGAGAGCAGGGGATTCCCTCTGCTGTCCGCAAAAGGAAGGACAAGTCAGGCCCTTTCAGACACACCTCAAAATCCTGTACCGCTCCTCCTGTGCCCAGTCACGCAAACCCAGCTCTCCTCGTTCAGACTGCGAGAGCCAGGATTCAGACAACCCTTAATACATACCAGACCACAAAACCTCCAAACCTCACTCAACACAACCAATTGCACTTGCTGCTGCTTGCCAGGACCTACTGCCCATTAGACAAGGCCAGGGAATGAAGGCGCTCCCTCTAACAGTTAGCTCCAAACCACCCCATTCATTTGCAGCTTTTTCTATGACATTTCATAGGTAGGATCCAGTTTTTAATTCCCCTTTGGGAAAATGGCAAGAGGAATAAGGACCTATGTGCTTGTTCCACAGGGAAAGACAGAAGGAAAGGTTGTGAGAGTTTGGCTGCTAGTCAGTAACGGCACATTGGAAGGAGACAGGACATAGCTTGGGGTATCTGGGTAAGATTTCTAGAGGAGAGGACAGAGAGCATGTTCCAGCATGAACTTAGCCCCTTAGGGACTGTCTGGGTGGCAAGCAGCCCAGAACCACCACCCATCCTGGCCCTGTTTTCCATTACCTCAGCCCACACACACTCCCTTCCACCCTCCTGCCAGCCATGCTCGAGTTGTTCCTCTCCAAAAGGCTGCAACAATTGCTGAGCACAGGAGAAACAGCAGTCCCATACCCATCACAGCGCTTGAGGTCCGAAACACCGTTTTGGCAAACCAGTTTGATTCACAGGAGCAAACAGGATCCCGAGACAGACCTAAGGTGGCAACAAGCACTTTTCTTGTGCACCCCAAGGAGGAAGACACAGGCCAAGACCTTCTGAAGCTGGAAAAGGTGGGTTTACTGCAGGATGGCATCCTTCTATTATCACTTCCTCTGAAATCACGTGGCCAGGAACACCAGGGACTTGTAGACAAAATGGATATCCACACGGAGCTGCTGTATCCGCAGCCAGCACTGCGCAGAGCACACTGCTGCTGCACGCCCTGCACACCCACTCATCTGCACAGCCTCCCCTTGGCCTGTGCAGAGCAAAACCACCAGCTACCTGTTCATGGTAAGGACTGAAACACACCCAGGAGGAAACAAAGCATGGAAAAAGAAGGATCCTGCAACAGGAAAGGCAGCAGTGGGATAAATTTGGGGAGAGAGGTCAAGGGACAGCCACTTGGAAGAGGCATTCTACCATCCTGCAAAGGGAAGGCGAGTTCTTCTTCCACGGTAGAGTGAGAAAGCCTGTATTGGTATCAAGGCACTTTATTACGTACCTCCATGCTCTCAAACAAGCCATCCTCAAGGACCAGGATCACACAGGCTTACAAACCTCAACACAGCTACCAAAACCACTACTGCTTTGTTGCCATCGTGCCATTACCATGGTAAAAACATGTTTCAACTTTGCAGAACGTCAAACCCAGCACTTCAATAACCCCCATCTGCTATTTGGTATGATCTCTTCAACAGGTTTCAAGATTTTATTTTTTTTTAACGTAACCTTTGAGGCTCTGTTCAAAGAAGTGGGAGAACTGGCAGCTGCACGTGAGTATCCCAGAGGATACGGTGGCACAGCCCAGCAGCCCCACAGTCATCAGATGGCCAGTCCCAGCAAAAGCAAAGCGTTTGGAGACATGACTGGCAGAAAGAGGCAAGACCCGCTCCTGGGAGGGATGCGGCCGCCGTCCACGCAGCCAGGAGCAGCGCGGAGGACAGCCACGCTGACCACTGCTCACAGCTAGAGCTGTACGAACGCGAACCGGCAGAGAAGAGTTGAGCAAGGTAATCGGGGCCAAGTGAAAGTTATCGTTTTTATGCTGCGATGCAGATGCCTAAACGCTCAGTGGCAGCCTGACAAAGACCCGACTTGCATTACACCTTGGCTGCAGCACAGGAACACGTTTCCCTTCAAAACTGCCCTTTAAAACGGGCTCCATCTCCCCCCTGCAACCCTTGTGCCGAGCGCAGCTGCACCCCGCAGACCTGCTCTGGTCAGTGACCTACAGACAGACAATACTCCAGCTTTTCTCAAAAATTCAATACTCAGAATATTTTATTGGCTGATAGCCTCTTACTGAAATTACTGTACAATTTTCACTTGTTTCAGCCAAAATTGAGGGCAATTTTGCTTAAATAAGCCTGTCTGTGCCATTAGCTCTATTTCACCAGGGAAATTTGCTCACTTGTGCATATGACATCATCTATTGATATAACCCCACCGAAACAAGCGTTTCAAACCCTTATACTCCGCCATTTCACATGCTGCAATTACACTCAAGCTTCAATGAATCTTCGACTAGACTTGCGCTGCGCTTCGCTTCTCTACCACGCACTTTGCTTGGCTTTGTTTTCCCCAAGAAGCATTTGCTTCTGGAGGCTTGCGTTGCTTTCCATCCCACCCAGGAACCCAACTATAGAAATCAAGGCTTTCATATTAGCAAACCCTAAAAATATTCCCAGTGACAATTTTACAAACCAAATTATACATCCCGCTTCTAGAACTTGGAAAAAAGAACACCCAGTAAAAAAAAAAAGAGACCCCACACCCAATTAGCACAACCCAACAGAAGTTTTTGCCACATCTTGCTAAGAAAACCCCTGTAGGACCCCAGCTGTGCCCGTCCTTCAAGTGGAAAACACCTCAACCTGCTAAAGCTGGCCTTTAACACCCTTTGCTCTCCAATAAGATTTTTTTCTGCTGTGAAAAACAGAAGTCAGTTACATTAATTCTCACACATAGCAAGGATTAAATCAAAGTTTAATAGTCACCATACAACTGCTTAAATGTTTTCTTAAATATTCTTTCCATCTTCATACCATTACTGCAGTTACTACACATAGACACAGCATTCAAGCATTTGAAGCGATAACAGCATTTAGACAAGAGCCTCGAGGAAGAATTCAGTGCCAGGCATGACCTCCATGCTCTCCTCCCCCTTCATCTGAAAGAGCCCTTATACCTTGGGCATTTCTACTTTATGTGACAACCAAGAATGGTCCAAAAAACTTGTTTGAACTCTGCCTCTTCGTGTCACTGGTAGGCAATAATCAAAAAAGTCCAAAGGAATCGAGACAGGACCACCTGCCCCCCTGAGCCTTTGGGATTTGCTGGAGATTAGCTCCTCATCATTCACCCACTGGCGCTGATCTCCCTCAGCGAGCTCTCTAGGCACACCCTACAGCATTCAAGCCAATTCTCTTCTCCACAAAACCCTCACAGGAGTCATTCTGTGAGACAACCTCAGGGACTGTAGCCCCTCAGAGGAACAGCACAGCCAGCAATTCCCAAATCAGAAGTATTACATTTTACAAGTGGAGTCACAAGCCCTAGAAACTCAGTTCTTGGAGAGAAACCATAAACCAAAGAGCAATGGAGCAGGTCAGAAATTGAGATGCAGGAAAGGCTGTTTTAGGCAATTAGTGGTCACTTCCAGACAAGAATCAAGCCCCACTTACCAATTAGTCTTCTCACCAATCACCTGCTCAGTAGCTGTAAAGCTCTGGAATTGGAGTTAAGTTGTTTTTAAAGTTGACAACATAAATGAGACTCTGATGTGTACTTGGTAAAGAGAAGTAGCTAAAACACTTAGCAGTAGTTCCTACGAGAACCTTAAAGCCCTGTTATCTTCTGGGTTCAGTATGCAGACTATCCCAACCCATAAAAAAAAGAAACGATAGTACTTTATTAAAATACTAAATTTTATTTTTTTCCACGTACATTTAGTCTCCCCACCATTTCCATTTGTCTGACCACCACCACCACCATGCCTTATCAAAACATTCCATACATACTTAAAATGAAGCTGAGGGTGGAGTCCCATCTTTAAAAACTAAACAGGCATTTTGGACAACACATTCTTGGCAAGGTAATCTGGATGACATTTATCAGACACGGTAGG